AAGTAACACATACTCAACATTTAATAATTAGAAAATGCACCATAATTTTTCATTAGGTTTAAAATTGTGTGCATGTCTGTACACAATTTATTTGCTCAAGATTATAAACTTTTATAAAAGTCCCGCATTAAAAGAAAGGTTCTCATCTCTTTTTGACATTTTTAGTAATTCTTTTATTCTGGCTTAGACAATTATCTGCTTGGACAGATATCAGCATTTTGCCCCACTTATTATTTTAGGACAATTCATTCCATTTCTCCAAAACTAGATCCTTAGTCAGCTCCAGGTGCCATATACTCTTTGTGGCATTTTTATAATAAAAATAGAAAAATAAGAGTAAGACACAGATAGTTTATTTTCCACCTGGTGTGCTCACTGGTAGATGGTGGTTTCTAGGGAAGCAGTTGTGTTACCAGCTCAGCCCCTATAAGGACATCTGTCATAGCAACACTCTGGGATTGTCTCAGAAAAGTGAATGTGTATACAAGACTTGAGGTGAAGAACAAGGTATGATTGTTTCCATTCAGCTCATTATGAGCATGAGTCCAATTCAAAATAGTCCACCTATCTCATTAACTACCCAGTACACACAGGAACCTCCACCCTTGGCAAGACACTGGGTGGATTCGTGTCTTAAATGACCAGGTATAATGTGGTGCACAGGTGACTGTCACATAGGTTTACATAGTACAAACCACACCATGCTCAGCATCGCCCTGAGATACAACTCTTTTTTTCATTCTTTATTGTGATAAAATATACATAACATTTACCATCTTAATAATGTTTAAGTGCACAGTATAGTAGTATTAAGTACATTCAATTGTTGTACAACCACATCACCATCCATCTCCATAAATCTTTTCATCTTGCAAAACTGAAACTCTGTACCCATTAAACAATAACTGCCCATTTTCTCCTCCTCCCAGTCCCTGGCAACCACCATTCTACTTTCTTCAGGATACAGACTTTTAAAATACAAAATGTAAAATTCTTTCTCATGCACTCAACCCCAGCTCTTGGGTCACAAGAGTTCCTAACGAAAAAGTTATTCTCTGCTCTCCAAGATGAACCCCAGCCCATTACCTCCTGCTCTCTTCATCTTTGCAAAGGTCATCACCCTCATCTCTGGATCCCCTTTGGTCACATCAGACCATTTGGGCAAAAAAGAAGAGTTAATTTAAATGTAAAGACCTAGAAGGTATCTCACTCTCAGCCACCCTTTGGCATCATTTCTAGTTCTTCTCATTCCAAGAAGTGCTCCAGCGAATTACATGTCTCCTGCTGACTTAGAAATCGACTTAAAACTCCATGAGGAAGGATGGGCTGTAAGTAACTGCTTTCTCCAGCTAGGTAATTTCTGACCTTGTTCTACAATTCAGTCCTTCAACATTTATTTCTTGAGCTACCACATTATGCTTGACCCAAAGGACCTACTGTTAACTTCGAACCCTACCATCAGTGATTTCCAGCCATAGCTGGTTGAGAAAATCAGCAACTGGTCTCCCCAAAAACGCAACCACAAAACAGGACAAATTTGACCAAAACAGCCATTTTAGTACTCTAAAATAGATCAAAGGCACATGAAAATCTGAAGAGCATCTATGTTTGAAAAATAGCTGAACTTCAGGTAAGAACAATGGGAGTCTGGGCATTCTGGCCTAGGGTTGGTCTCATGCCCCACCCCCACCCCCCAGTCCCAGCTTGATCAACAAAGATGTTTTGGCAGGGAAGGGCAGGCCATGAGCACCAACAGTACTTCAGTCACAGTCCAAGGGGCTTATTCAATTTGGAGCATCTATACCTACGGGGAGAAATGAATAGCACCAGAGATGATAATTATATGGTCTAATATACAAGATTATGAGGGCCCTGGCCGGGCAGCTCAGTTGGTTAGAGTGTCATTTGGATATGCCAAAGTTGCAGGTTTGATTCCCAGTCAGGGCACACTCAAGAATCAACCAATAAATGTGTAAATAAGTGGAACAACAAATAGATGTTTTTCTCTCTCTCCCTTCCTCTATCTCTAAAATCAATAAATACAAACATTTTTATAAACACTATGTTTATCTTTTTCTCATTTCTTACCTTCTTTAAAAGACATATGACTGTATAAACAAATAATTATACCACTATCTTGTTGGGTTTATAGCATATATAGATGTAATATAAATGGTAATAACAGCACTAAGAATGGGGAAGGAAATAGAGGTATTTTGAAATGTTTTTATATTTTTCTAAAGTTAAATTAGTATTAAATCCCATCTCCATAGTGAATAATAATAACAGTTTATGTGTACTGAGTGTTTACCTTGTTCCAGTGGGTACATGTTACCTTACTTAATGAGCCCCCCCAACAGCTTACCTCCTGTAACCCATACAGTAATTATTATCCAGGCCACACATTCTGTATTTCATCACAATTTAGGCTCTTGCTTTGTTACTACATGCATCACTCTTTTTGCTCCAGTGAAATAAAAATTCTTAATGCTCCCCCACAGCACGCAGAAAGTGCTCAAGTTACACTGAGTCACTAAAGGTGGCCCTCCAGGGTTATAACCTTAACATAATAAGAATGTTGATAAGCTGTCTTTATTATAAACTTTGAACACAAAATCTAATCCAATTGCAAATGGGCAAACACCATTCTACCTGTAAAAATCTCAGAAATGGTTAAGACCAGCTTGTTTGAGCTCTGAAGTTGAAGATAGTTCAACTTCATTTTCCAGATGAATTTGCTAAAATCTTAACTTTCTAGAAGAGATTGTCCAGTCTGTCAAAAAGCTTTCAAAACCAAATTATTTCACATTGAGAAGCTATAAGAAAGGTTCCCAGCATTAAGTGTTGACTATTGGTTTTGAAGTATCTGCTTTGGAGGCTTTTTAAAAAGTTTTACGAGAGAGAGAGAGAGAGAGAGAGAGAGAGAAAGATCATTGTTCCACTTATTTATGCATTCATTGGTTGCTTCTATGTATTCTGACAGAAGACCAAAGCCACAACCTTGGCATATCAGGACAACGCTCTAACTAACTGAGCTATCTGGCCAGGGATGCAGGGTTTTGAAATCTCAAGCTGAAGAGCCCTCCAGTGTTAATGGTTTCAGGAGTCCCTTTGCCTATCTCTAGGCAGTGGTTTGGGGAATGTGGAATCTATCCTGATAGAGATGTCAGGGAAGAAGATCCTTCCAAACTCTTCTAGATGCTTCTGCAGTCTGGAAATTCTGTTCCATCTCTCACCTTGGGCTGTTACACATCTCACCTTAGGTTTCAGTACCTTCCTGGTCTGCTCACCACCACCCCTGCCCCCAGGTGTGGCCCTCCCCAAGGCTGGCAGTAATCATGGAGTCCACAAGGTCCCTTGTTTCCAGCACCCTTAGCACTCTGCCCCTGAAAGCCATGAAAGTCATTCCAGACTCTTCTCAGGCTCTGAGTACACCCATCCTGATTTTCTTCTTGGGTTCCACCCTGGAGCAGATGTGTGCAGTCAGGAAAATGTCACCCAACCTGTCTCTCACCCAGGAGGTCAGCTGGAGGCACTGTCTTACAGGGTGTCCTCCTGGGTGTTGTTGCTCCAAGGGAATCTCCCCTTACTAGAAAGGGTATCTTCTCTTCAATTCCACAGACCCAACTGTTCATCGCAGGAGAATCTGGGCAATGCTGTACATACTTTACCAAGGACTCTGTTTTTTAGCTTCTTCAGTGGCTAGGGATGTAATTAAATGCCATCGTTCTAATGACACACATTTTCCATTCCAGCTGCTTGAAGTTCCTTCTCTGCTAATGGTTTAGCAATTATCTCTTTGGCTACCACCTACCACCCCAGGAATGGCCTGCCAGAGTGACCTATACTCCTGACATTTTATAGTCCCTGTAAATTAGGAAGAATTACAATCTTGAGTAATGTCATGATGTACTTATTTGTTCATGGGAGTAGAACGTGGCTATCTTTTCTCATTTTATTTTATTTTTTTAAATATATTTTATTGATTTTTTACAGAGAGGAAAGGAGAGAGATAGAGATAGAGAGTTAGAAACATCGATGAGAGAGAAACATCAATCAGCTGCCTCCTGCACATCCCCCACTGGGGAAGTGCGCGCAACCCAGGTACATGCCCTTGACCTGAATCTAACTCGGGACCTTTCAGTCGGCAGGCCAACGCTCTATCCACTGAGCCAAACCGGTTTCCGCTATCTTTTCTCATTTTAAATTAGGACTACTGGGAACAAGCACCATCAAGGTGGTCATAATTTACCAAAATGCCAGCTTTTTAAAATTATTAAATGTATAACATTCCAGAGTGTAGACAGAGTAAGAGGAGAACCTCACATTTATATAAGGGCTCAAATTTAGATACTGACATTATCTCCAAGTGCGACTGTAGAGTCCGAAAGCATGTGTTAGATCATTTATCAAGGGTAAATTAACATTTAAAATATGTCAGAATGCAATCCTGCTTTTGGTATTACTTTACTTTTTCAGTTAATGTATTAGGAAAACCACCCCTCAAAAAAAAAATTGTCCGAACCAATTCCAACCTCTCTTGTGTGTATGTGTGGTGTGTGTGTGTTAGGGGTTGGGGGTGGAGGTGGGGTTGAGAATGGGAGTGAAAGGGTGACTTTGAGCGCCGGGTTTAGGCAGCAGAAATTTCCAGGTCAGCTCCCAAGGTCTTGGAGATTTGGGCTCAGCATTCCCACGAAGACTCGCGGGTTCCGAGCGGGTGGAGGGACCAGAGAGCTGCCCGATGGAAACAAGTACCGCGCAAACCTCAGCCACCTGGAAGAGAGCGTGGGGCGGCGCCGCCGCGGGGCACAGAAAGAGGCGTGGCCGCGGGCGTGGGGGGCGCGGCCTCCTTGGGATGGGGCGTGACCGC